ACACCCATGTGCAGCTGCTGTCCATTCGCCTCTTGCAAGAGGTGATGGAGTTGCTGGCAGAAGAGGGAACACAGCCCTTGGAGACGCAGGTGCACCAGAGCCTGGTGCCACTGTTCATCCTCGGGCATGACGAGAGCCAGAGCGTGGCAGAGGTGAGCACTTGTGGGCTCTGGGGTGCCCGTGGCAGGGTCTGGGCTGCCTCCGGCCCCGGGGCCTGGCAAGCTCCATCCTCCTGCTGGCCTTGGCCCAGGGATGCAGATGCTGTGCCCTGGGCTGTGGTACCATGTCCCTGTGTCTGCTGCTCTGTAGGCCGCTCGCGAAGCGCTGCTTTGCTCTGCAAGGTTCCTCAAGAGAAGGGACCTGGAGAAGCTGCTGAGGAGAGAGCAGCACTTCAAGTTCTGTGATTGCCTGGTAAGGATGAGCTGAAAGGCACAGCCCCGGGCTGCACAAGCCCCCAGCCCCCAGTGCCCAGTGTGCGGGGCTGGCCCTGTGCCCCTGGCACTGCTGCCCCCACAGACACCCCCTGCTCTCTGCAGATGGACAAGGATGTGAGTGGAAGGGACGAGCACCTACGCCAGGCCCTGCCCTACCTGCAGAGCTCACAGGAGCCCCTGCGAGAGGCGGCCGTCAGGTTCATGGGTGAGCCCCAAGGCCGCGGTCCCTCCCGCCCCGCTGAGCTCGGCCCCAGCCCCGGCTGCTGCAGCGGCAGCAGATGCGGCCCAGGCTGTGCTGGGGAGCCCCGAGTGCCCTGGGGCTGCTGCCCCCTCTGCCAGCCGCGCCCTTGGGGGTCCCCCTGCAGGGCAGCTGTGCCGCTGGGGCCCTGACACACTCTCTGTTCCCAGGGGTCGCCGCCTGGCACATGAAAGACCTGCAGCCCATCATGAAGGGTGAGTGAGGACAGCGGGCTCTCCCTGGGGCTGCCGGGGAGGAGCACAGACCCTGGGCAGGGAGCTGCAATCCCTGACCCTCCTGCACGGGTCACAGGGGGATTGGGGGCCAGCTCATTCCAGCTCATCCTGTGTGCCCCAGTTCCCTCCTGGACATAGCAAGAGCTGGCTGGGATGGCCCTGGCAGGGGGGCTCCTCAGGTCCCTGCAGATGTGGGCTCTGACCATGGCTCCATGGCTCTGTCTTCCAGCCCTTGAAGCCATGAGCCAAGACGACTGCCCCTCCTACTGCACCATGCGGACTGAATTCTTGTCCGCTTTTCGACGGGCAGTGACCAAATAATCTACTCCATCAACACGCCCAGTGTCCCTCCAGCACCACCGGACAACAGGGACGCGGAGCTGCAGCTCCAGCTGATGCCCAACTGAGCCAGTCGACAACACCATGCAGCTCCTGGACTCCCCATCCCTACAGACAGCCTCTCTCCTCCCCTTCCTCTTCTCATCTCCCTTACCTCCCTTTTCCCTCCCCTTGCTTACCCTCCCCTTCCTTCCCTCCCCTCCCCACTCCTTCCCCTCCCCTTCGTTCCCCACCCTCCCCTTCCTTTCCTTCTCCTGCATTCCCCTCCTCTCCCCATCCCGATACTCCCCTTTCGTTCCCAAACCTTCTCTTCTCAAACCTTCCCTTCCCTTCCCAAACCTTCCTTTATCTGCCCAAAACTTCCCTTCCCTGCACAAACCTTCCCT